ATTCGGACGCTTTGCTTGGCAAAAGCACCGGCCGCCCAGCACTGGAAGTTTGCCATCTTGGCGTCTCGAGCCAGCAAACCGCAAAGACTTGTCACGGACCCCTAAGACGGCCCTGCGATCCGGCAAACCTACCATGTGATCAATCAGAAGGAACATCCATATATCATCATACATATATATATATATCATACATCCCATATCATCATACACTCATATCATCCATATTACAGTATCCATGTTTGGCACATCTAGCCGCGTTTGGGTGGGGGATCAGTGCATTCATCGGTCGGTCGCATGGGCGACAGACCCCTCCACCTTCAGGCCCCGACACACTCGTTGGCCCCGAAAGGAACGTCTACCGCCGACCCGCAGAGTCGGGTTGACTGTCTTTCTGCACGCCCTTACTTAATGCCTGACGCCAAGCTCATGCATGCTCTCAGACCATAGTTGGGTGGTACTGTTCACCACCTACCAATGCCCAGACTCAAACACTCCACGGGACTGCCATGTCGGATTGCCTTCCAAACGGCAGTCGGGGGGTCTGTCTGGGGGTCTGTCGGCAGGCGATGGCAGTCCCATGGAGTGCTTTGGGACCATGGATTCTGTCTTTTGGTCTGTTGTGGAGTTGGCCACCCGGTTTTACAGCATGTAAAAACCAGAAAAACCATCTGAAATAGGCGCCAATCCCATCTTGTCAATGTACTGCTGACCCCGGATTGTCTCCATCGTGTTCCAACAAATCATCATTGAAGGTATCACAAGGTGTCACATCTGATTTGCCACGCAAATGCGATTCTAATCCTGCTTCCTCTTAAGCACCAAATAGATTAGAAAGGTAATTGCAAAGCTAAGCTGGATCTTGTTGAAAACCTCGACGGAAGCGCCACCCAAATCCCAAACCGCGCTGGATCAGTCAACGGAGGGTGACTGGCTCCAGTCTTCAGCCCAAGTTGCGTGCCGTGAAACAAAGCACCCCCAAAGCAGCATGGTTCTTCACAACTTCTCACTTTGCAACTTCTTGCACCCGCCTTAGCTCTGACAGAACAGAACTATTATATATATATATACTACATAAATATATTATATATATATTATAGAAAGGAACAAATGAGGACGAGGATTGCTTCAAAATCACGCATCCCTATAGGGCTCAAACTACTTTCTCAGGAGGGTTTGGAGGGTCTAAATGCCTTCTGAGGAGGCACTTGGAGCCCTAGAGTACATATTATCAAAGATATTATAGGCACTTTCTGTTCATTGCCCCTTCTACCTCAGCAGGTTTGGGTAGTAGCTGCGTTCTTCTTGAGCCATGACCAAACGTGGTCTGTCTTTTATAAATGGCATGGATAGTTTCAAACACATTTTCACTCCAGCCTAGCTGCTCGCAGCTAGGACTCCTTCTGGGGGAATAGTCGACTCCAAGCCCACCATGTTCCTGTAGAATCTGTAGATGGTAGCCCAAAGCTCCTGTCGATGTCCTCAGTGCGCCAAGGGTTTTCAGGTGCTTCCCGCTGAGCCGCTGTCACACCTCGAGGACGAAGACAGCTCTCCCTTCCGTGAGCAATATATTCGCACCTTGGGGTCGGGTCTTGCCGTAACAGGTGCAGGTATTTCAGAAGATGTTTCTGTTGTTTCGCGTTCCAAAGAACGAATACCAACTACAGGTTGGGAAGGTCCAACAAATACCAACTACCAAGCCAAATCCCTATACCAACCCACAGAATGGACCCTCTAGATCTCGGCTTTGTCCCGGGTCATCAACAGAGGTGGGTCAGAAGCTATCCTCTGGGTCCCCCAGGTGCTCCTATTGACGGTCCTTCAAGCTCTGTTGGTGTTAGGAAGCCTTGGTTCCCCCAAGACATTGGACCAAGGCGCTGAGGATCACGAGCGTCAAGGCGGACCAAGGCGTCTTCCACCACCCATCCCTCTGACCCACTTCACCGCACCGGAAAGCGGGTTCCGGAAGCGTGTTCCGCTGGCTGGTCACGGGGCGGGGTTTTCGGGTGTGTCAGAGGTTGCTGCACCCATCATGGCTACGCTGCACGCATCTGTCTAGCCATCTCAGCATCAAGTCAGTGCCCCAGACTATGCATAATATAAGGTCTACACGGTTTGCACCCGCCCAAAAATCTCCTGGTTCAAAAGCTAAAGACCTTTTCGTGGCCAAAGCCTTATATAAATCACCATGTGGGAATTGAGCCAAGAGTCACACCGTATCGGGGTCAAAGAGTTACACTCTCTCAACGAATCGTGGTGGAAGTGGATGGCATGGCCCCAAAGGGTTACTGTACCCGGCTTTCTCTGCAAACGGGTGGTTTTCACTCCACGTAACCATGGTAAATGACATGGAGAGTTCGTTTGAAAGTACTCATTACAGTCTACCGCACACCTCGACAATCGCAGCTTGGCGAGTATGGAAGGCCTGAAAGGTGCTTTCTTATCATCCAAACTTCTGGGGGCGGTGGGCCGTTTTTTGTTTGGTGGGCCCCCCATGAAGTGCACAGTGAAAGTGTGTCCAACTAACTACTCTCACTGGAACTAACATGGAAGTGGATGGCATGGCCTCTTGGAAGACCACTTTCCTTTACAAACAGTGCGTTTTCCACTTCCATGTTTAGTGCGTCGGAGTGTACTCTCACTAGAACTAACATGGAAGTGGAGTTCACGCCTCTGTTTGGTGGAGGATTTCATGGTCTTCCGAACTCAAGGGGCCATGCCATCGTTCCCATGCTAGTTCCAGGGAGAGTGTCATGGGCTTGGTTACCCCCTTTCGGAGAACATGAAGGACACAGTGTCCGCTTTTCATGCCCATGGCACTAGGCTGTTTCCAGCCTGAGGGCGAAGCAGTCACCGCAAGAGTGGGTCTTTTAAGGGATCTGAACGGTATGGAACGGTTCATGAATCAAGCCCACCAATCTGGATCTGAGTCGAGACCGGGGAGACCTGGGAGGACGACCTACAGGTCCAACGGACGACCTCCAGGAGGCTCAACCTGGTGAGCGCCATGGGGGCTCTGGGTGCCCCATGGGTTCGGTGGGCGCTCCATGTTCTCCCTTCCTCCAAACCAGGCGGGCAAGGCCGGTCCAGTAGAGTGGACAAAGCAGCCTGACAAACCGCTGCCAGGCTGGGAGGACTCCCTGGGGGCGGGCTTCCTGTGACCAAGGAACAAGGACCAACATGCAGGTTGGCACCCATTTCTCCATACCCCACGTTCACAGTAGTATAGACTCGTCCCTCCCTCCCTCCCTCCCTCCCTCTCTCTCTCTCTCTCTCTCCCCCTCCCTTTCTCTGTCATTCTATTTATCCATCTATATATCATATATGTATAGTCCATATCTATCTTATAATCACATCATTGTATAATACAACGGTGTATATATATATACACACATACAGCATTGAATTAACCTCTCCCCAACAAACAGTGGCAGTGGACGCAAAACGTTGACCAAATGGCCCATTGGATGCGTCTTCTTGTCATTGAGAGGCTTTGCAGGTGGGCACACTTGCGGGATGTATGTCTCATGGAAAGTCCACAATGGCTCAAGCAAAGAACTCTGCGGGGATGCTGCTTGAGCAAGGAGTGAAAAACAAAAATCCAAGAGGGAAAAGCACCGAACTCGCCGTAATCACCTTTAGAGTGGTTTCAGAGTAGATGGCACCATCACCAAGAGGTGGTTTATATGGAACCCCATCTAAGAGACATCGACAGTGCCATCTACTCTGAAACCACAGTATTTCATGCTCCTGAATGGTTTCCCCTGGGATTCCTGGTCCACCAGTGTGGGCCACTAACGATTGCACACGACCAAACCAGGTCAACCATTGAATGAACGAGCATTTCCTTGCTCATACTTCTTTGTGCAGGTGAACCGGATCATTCCTGCAAAAACATCATGGGGCCAAATGTCGAGTACTCGTTTGTGCCGAGATGTCGGTGCGTGTGATGTCGACCAGGTTAGGACCGAAGCCAAACCCAATGTCCATTTCGTTCTTGCGCGTGATGTCGACCTTCTCTTGCATTATGTGCTGGATCTCTAAAATTGGCTGGCACTTGGAAACAAAGTTTCCTCAATTCGAATGCCTTCAATGCTGCTCAAGTCGTGTTGTTCTAGGCGGTGAACTTAACAAACATATTGAGTCAATATATATATATATATATACAGTTACCCTGCTGAAGACTCACCATGGACCCTGAAAACCACGGGGTTGTAGAGGAAAACGGTCTTTCAGGGTGCCATTCTCAGGGCCGATGTGAGTTTTTGGTACAGTTACACATTCAAAGAGCTATTGCCTTCTCTCCCTGCTCGGATTTCTGTCACTCTGATGAGAGCTTTAGACATCTCATGGCTCGCTTGCCTGTGGCTGCAAATGTTTTTTCACTACCTGCTGTATGAGAAGACTTGGTTGGTCTGTCATCTTGCTCTTGGCCTTGAGATGCCTTGAGAGAAGAATGTCTGGTCCTTGTGTCAGCTGAGACTGGGGATGTGTTTGGTACGATCAAGTTGCAGGGAGTCAAGTCGACACAAACCTCAAACATGTTGGATAGGTTATATTCCACTGGCTCTGTGGGATTGGGAAGGAAGCGTTTATGTGACGGTCCATGCAAACGTCTGCTTGGCCATGTCAGGCCCTTGCAATCACTTACAACAGTCCACCCAATGAAACTTGGCATTCTTCTCAGGATTGAGAGATCTGGAATTTCTACAGCTATATATATTTCAAGCGAGCAATGAGCAGGCCAGTTTTTCATGCAGCTGTTCTTAGCCAACCTCAGGCTACATCACTGCATCTACAGCTGCATATGCCTGGAAATAGTGTTGTTCCTGCTGGGGGTTGCCTGAACAAGTCAAGCTCCTTTTGGATTCCTCCTAGTTGTAGGAGATATTGTACCCAAATCGGGAACTTGTCCACCTCTTCATTTCAAGTTGGGCTCTTCCACCTCTTCATTTCCCACAAGCTCGGTCGGTGTTCCGACGGCGGCGCCGGAGGAGGCATGCGCCGAGGCGCCCCGAAGGTCAAATGTGCCAGCTCGAAGGGTTGAAGTGCCCCCCGCAGGTCGCCTTGGTCATGCGCTGGGAGTGGTTTCTTCCAGGTCACCGTCAAGTCATGGAAACAAGTTGTCACGTTTCATGGTCCTGTAAGCTCAAATGTTTCGTCTACAAGTCACCTTTTACCAATAAAAAAGAACGTGCGTTCCCCGGAGGGTATTCAAGCCATCCAAGGCGCCATGCCCCATCCACTTTCACGATGATTCCAGGGAGTGCAAGTTTTGTTCAACCGGTTTGTTCTCATCAGCTCTGATACGTTGTCTACAATTGGACCACAACGACCACGACAACGACCACGACCACGACAACAACACCAAAACCAACACCAGCAGCAGCAACAGCAGCAACAACAATCACTATACAGATCTATACAGTATGTTTCATCATGTTTCCAACAAATGCTTGAACATCTATGCGAAACAACGTTCGCGCTCCTCTCAGGGCCTCACTCATCCTCCTGGCCGCTTCATGCAAACTCGCCCAGGTCACCGAGCGCAGGGCCTCACCGAGCGGGATGGCTCGTTCAACCCACGTGGAGCAGGCGAGCCCCTCCACCATCTAGCGAAAAACAAGACGACGCCTGGTAGGGAAAAACCGCGCGATCCTGGTTGTGACTCACAGCGATACTGTGAGATGCAATGAGAACATATATATATATATATATATATCATACAAGCGGCGTACTTAAGTCAACCCACGTCGCGTGAAGTCAACTGACTCATTTTGGTCAAAGCACAATGGGCACACTTGGAAAAGGAGCACGGCAGGAAAGTTATATTTTCAAGGAAAAGTGTGCGCACACTGTGTTATGGCTGGCACTTGGCCTTGCTTTCTAGATGTTTCAAGCTCAAGTCTCAATGGCACAGCACCATTCACACCAATGCACAACTTGGAGAGTGGTTTGCGTGACTATAGGCCCCTGCGCGAGCCCCGCGCGACCCCGCGCGAGGTTCGCGCGAGGTTCGCGCGAGCACGACTCCTACAGTCGTCCTACAGCTTCCTACGGTCAACCAACACAGAAGCAGCAGGAGCAGCAGCAGCAGTCAACCAGAAGCAGCAGCAGTGGTGCATGCCCAAGGAGCTCTGCATCAAAACTGTCACAAATCCTTGACCCTTCACCCCTGTGGAAGCTGCCCTCCCCCAAAGAACAGATTCATAAATACAAACAAGTGACAATCAGGCACACCATGGGCACAACACAAAACATGTGTTATAGATCAATACAATCTATGCTTTGACATCCCTGTGGATCTGCAAGGGCACACGGTTTCGAGTCGACTTAACAAGCTGAGTCGACTTAACGCTAGTACCTAGTATATATACTAGTATACCCTATATCCATGAAAACAATCTCAGGTGGAAGTGGATGACAGTGTCCCTTTGCCATGAAACATTGAAAACCAAGCAGGCGGTGAACTCACTCCACTTCCATCATGATTTCCCTGGGGGTCCAATCGGCCGGTTTCAACATGGTCCTTGACTTCGGTGCCAAATGGTCGAACTGGACAACGGGGTTGATCGTTTTACCATGCTGAAGACCACAAATGAAGACGGCAAAGCCTTACCATGTTAACCTGACCGGTTCGTGTTATCATCTTTTAACCTACTACTCCCCTAGGGATCCAGTCGTACCTTCTCAGGTACGGTGCTTGGAGACACTGTTATGCAGGTTTGGAAGGCCCAAGTACCCTCTGAGAAGGCACTTGGATCCCTAGGGCTCTAGAAGCCCCCCAGTTCGACCAAAACATTGGCACCACAAAGGAAAAGGACATCCCGAACTTTGGGTGATCTAAGGACCATGTTGAACAAATAGTCTTGGACTCCCAGGATATGGATCTTGGATTTCACATGGTCAACCAGCCCCGTGAACACGAAGCCTCGGTCGTGAACCCCAACTCACCCCGGTGAAGCAAAGGAGACGACGTGCACGACGTGTAAAGACGGGGCCCCAGTAGAAGGATTCGAAAACAAGCATCACCATCAACAAAACCAAGTATGATTGGTTGCTCCTTTACACCATAAATGAATCACTATGACACACACACACATATCACATACATAACAGCTCCAGGCTTTATACCCCTTCTCGTCTTTCACGTCAGGGCTTTTGTGGTGCCCTGATCACGTGCTGCTTGCCACGCTGCTCTTGCTTTGCGCTGGTTGATCAGGTTGGTGCATGAAAACACCGAGCCTATGACGATGGATCAAAGGTCCGCCCAATCAAGTGCAACGAACTGACCTCTTTGGATTTCTGCCGGTGTAATGGGATTGTCAGGTGCGATGAGCAATGCAACAACTCGGAGGAGGGGTCGGTCAAGTCTCTTCGAAGCATGGCTATGGCTATGGAAAGATATGACAAGCAAATAGTAAAACACACTCCCATCCGATGCCACCCCCCTCAGGTTCCCCACACAGCGGCCAGATGCCAGCGCCAGTCGGGACACCTGAAGCTAACTGGTCGGTGCTGGTGGGACGGGTGCAGTGAGAAAACGCCGGGCAGTCAGAGTCAAAGCCTTTCCAAGACCTCCGACGTTTTCTTGCCTAGCTGGTTTCGACTGAAAATTGTTAGTCACTGGGTTCAATCATCCCCAAAAACAGCTGAACAAGGATGCAGGGTAGCGCCGATGGTCCAAAAGCCCGATGTTCTGGGTGTCCAATTGGAAAAAAAGCGCGTGCAGCACGCGCAAGCCTGTGCTGATCATCAACCTGTTTGGAAATAATCCACCAAAATGATCTGCGGATATCTGTGGCAAGTTGGCAACCTTCTCTCCTTACAGCTTGACTCCTAGGGGGTCACTTATGGTCACTTGACCCATCTTTACTAAAAATTACTACCAGCACCTTCATGTCGGGGTCACCTGGCTGGAAGCCCCTACACTAAGGGACCTCCAGCCAGGACACCCCTTGAAGGTCCAGGTATAAATTAAAGAACATGTTCCCACTTGGCCGAAGCCAAATCGATCGAAGGCGCTGCCAACGCCACACCACCCGCCCCCTCGTGCGTGTTGAGAGGCCTGGGTCGTGGTCAAGGCACGGCAATGTTCGCCTCGCGTTGGCGCACGATCCGTCCGAGGTGGGATGGATCTAGGGAGGGCTGGACGTCCTAGTGCAGCTTGGGGCTTCAAGATCTACAGAGAAGTCATTGATTCCTGCAACATGTTGCCAAGCACGGTCAGACAGGTCAGATGCGAATGTTCCGGAAAGCCAAGGAAATCCACCCGTCCAGCCAACAGCTACATGGCCCGCTTTCCGGGCCACGCCTGCCCTGGGACCAGTGACAAAGGTGGCACCTTACAGCTGGCCGCAGGCGTGGAGTCCATGGAGGGTGAGCTGGGAGGCCCATCGGCTCTGAGCAGCTCTTTTTGAGGTGCCCGGAGGAGGAATGGAGGAAGAACATGGAAGAACAAGGATACTGTAGGAAGTCTTGGCTGTATGGTGGATGATGATGGTTAGGTTGCACTTGGCTCTTTGTGTCTTACCTTGGGTTGCAAACCTTGCCCCCCCAACGCCCCGTCATCTTTTACCAAGTGTTACTGTACACTCGACGAAGTCCACAGGCTCGAATTCAGCGAAAAGAAGAAAAACCACGTCCCGCCCCAAAACGGGAATGACTTGGACTTCGCCGCCCAAGGCGTCGGAAAACATGATACAAACGGGCCAAACTTGTTTGAATTGGGGATGTTGCTTGCTCCCGTATGCCAACCCTTTGAGGCTTCAGCTTCAGGGCATTCACAATGGACGTCGCCCTGAGAAACATAAAGAAGAGACACCCACTTCGATGACCTTTCGCCTGGAAGAGGCTCGGCACAGTGAACCCCCCCCCCGGCTCCCTCCCCAAACTGCAAACGTCATCCAATTCCACGGTCCAACTCGGCGCACCTTAGGACCATGGTCCAACTCTGAAGCGATGATCCTCGAAATTCAGGAGGTTTAAAGGTCCCCTCCTGAGGTCACTGAGGTGACTCCACGTCGACTGGCTTGGCAGGTCACTTCCAAGGACTGCGCTGGCCAGGTTGGCCACGTCCTCGTTCTGAGCATTCACCGTCGCCATGGCCGCCAACGCCTGCGATGTTCGCCAGGCCAAAAACGGCCGAAAAGCTCCGTTTGAACGGCCCTCTGCGGAACATCTGAAAATTGGGCACTAGTCACTAGTCTCAATGACATACACTGGCAAGTGGTGAGCAATGGAAAACAACCTGGTTGAATGGGATTCACGTAGGTCTGGCAAACAGTGCCTCGACGCAATCTCGCTTCAATAACCCCACCGCCAACGTCAGGAGAAGCATCAAGTGTGTAGTGCACAAAACGATCAAATGATATGAGATGATATCAGGAATATGTGGTCGACAAAAAGTCTTGGGGAAAAAAATATCTCTACCAGGACACCCTAAGGGGCTTCGATTGATAGCCCCTTAGAGGTTAAGGGGTGTCCATCAACCACCCCTTGTGGGTCCTGGCATATGGGGACTGATATCGACTTGTATCGACTACAGGAACATCTGTAGACCACGAAAAGCACGCCCTCAGAACCCCCGAGCTCGCCTCGACCAAGGAGCCGGGCGTGAAGTCGCGGTCGCGGACGCGGACGCCAAGCCTGGATCAAAGACCCATGAAGTCGGACGAAACCACCGGACATGTGAACTGCCAAAAGAGGTTAAGTGACCTTATTAAATATTACTAAGCAGACCGAGGTGTCTAAGAGATATGAGCTGTCAACTGGAGCCATTAAACGATGAGAACCAAGAGAGGTTAAGTGACCTTATAATACTTATAGGACCTTCCTGGGGTACCTGTGGGATAGGCTAGTTCGGGTCCTTCAACCTCTGGTGTGAGAGATTGCTGTGAATCGTGGTGATTCGCTGCTCCTGCGATATTCGCTGGCGATTCTCTGAACACCTGATCTATAGTTCTAAGCCGAGGACTGGTCAATGAGCTGAAACACCTGAGGACATGGACCGTCTGGTCACTGCGGTTGATCGTGGCGTGATTGACCTGTTTTGCCGTGGATTAGCCCACCCCCTCAATTGGCAACAAAGCTAGCAGCTATTATCATGCGCCCAATGGCTCGCAAGCCACACTTGGCATCATGTTCCCGCGAATGCTTAGATGCTTGAGAAATCAAGAACTGCAACAAGCCAGGCAGGGCAGGCAGGGCAAACATGGGCAAACATGGGCAAACACTACTACAACTCTGAACATGCATCGGCTGCCCAGCTACAAACTGCATGAGCGCGGGTTCTTCTGGGCACCCAAATGTATGCACCCTTCGCGCTCAAACAAACGACGGCACCATTGGAATGGGTCTTTGAGCTGAACCTCGACTTCCGCGCGAATGTCCCACCGGTCATTTGGGCAAAGGACCGCATTGGGCAAAATGACCTCATAAAGTTGATTCAAAGGGAAGAAACTGGTTAGTCCAAGGCCAGTGTCCATCTCCATGATTTTTTTCAGGGAGCGTTGAGTTGTGTTGACTGAGAACTCCCATCTACAAACATCGTCTTGCAATATCAACCCTAAGAATCCTTGGGCTGTCCATGGCAGGGGTCGGACCCGACACCTTCGCAAAATTCCGGGGCCGAACCAAACTCTATCTCTTTGAGGGTGCGGGTTCTTAGGGTTAGAGGTCATTCGGGGCATCCCATCCATGGCCCGAGACCGAGACGCCCCGATCACCGTCCCAGCAGGTCTAACCGGGCCACTTCTTCACCGTCGCACTCTTCTGACAAGAGCTGCGTGTGAAGTACGCTCGGAGCTCCCCAAGGCGCTCGCCTCTTCGATTCCCCCCGACCGATGGCACCTCCGGATGTCTGGGGACCTCAGTGAGCGACGACGCCAAAAGGATGACGTGGCATGGCGCATGGGGCAATGTATAACCCAGAGGCTCATGGACCCTCAAACTGCTATATGTTTGACGTCCAAAACCCTGGCTGTGAGGGTCAAAACCCTATGAGGGTCCAATGAGCCTTTGGGAAATTCCCAGACACGACTAGTGGGACTGCCATAGGACTGCCGATCAGGCCAGGGGTGGTTGTTTCAGGGTCAATGGGGCGGTAAATATTCCAGTCCCATGGAGTGTCTGAGAATTGCAATGTCCCGAAGTCATGTTATGATTGGTTTTACTCTTACCGTTTTCTCAGGTGGCGGGCTCTTTGCACACCAGAACAGTGAATTTACCAAATTTCCATGCATGTGAAAGCATCTTGGGTGGAAGATCACAAGTCAAAAAATGTTATTTGGTGGTCTACATGGATCATGATCGTAAAGCATGTTCATGTTCCTTCCATTTTGCATTCATGTCCTTTCAGTTTCCTTCAAAAGGTGATATGCTCAAACCAGTCATGTGGGTATCCTCCGAAGCGCTCGCATGTTTCTCATATTGTGTTATCGTTTGTGTTGTCGTTGTGTTATCGTTTTGGAGGCCTGTGCAGGTTGCCATCTTCAGGGTTCATGAACATGTACATGTATAATCATACTATATCATACGATCGTTTTTATTCTTATCCTTTTCTGAGCCAGCTATGCATTTTCGTTCGCGTTTTAAGGCGCAGGCCAATACTAAAATCTGAGGTTATTAAGGGTTATTCATTAAGCAAGGCTTTGGAGAGAAGAAGATCGATCCAGTCCGTTCGGAGCAAGGCTTTGGCGTCCTTTCTTAGACCTTGACCCAGTGACATGATCAAGGGATTTGAGGGAACATCTGCAGCAAACCGTCGAACCGTTCTTTTTCATCCCCAATTTCCTATGGCGTTCCTGTAGTTCCATGAAACCAATTCTGGGACACTGAGCTTCACCTACCGACCAACTACCTTTGAGCCGAAGAGCCAGTACGGGGAGTTCCCAGGGTCTTCGAACGCGAAAAAGATTTGAGGTCAAGGATGGCGTCTCAAAATGAGGCGAGGAACACACAGCAAACAAGATTCAACAAGAAACGTGGGTAGCTACTCAACTGATAAAATAAATCGGGTCAGCAGGAGACTAGAGTGTGACCACTACCCAGTTGGCCAAAGAAACCAATCAGAAACGACATCATACTACATCATGCCGCAAACTGTGGTTGAAAGAATCGGTGCGATTGGACTCTTCCTTCGAAGCTTCGGAGTTCCAGCAATTGGAGCAGCTCAGACTCCCAAAAGCTCCAAATCAGAAGTTTGGACCCTATCTTTAGGAGGCTTCCCGGGTCCAGACTCCCAATTTGGAGCGTTTGGGACCGTTTGGACCGCTCGGCACCGTGGCCCGTCGCGTGGCCCTGCGTGGCGCGTCGCTCCTTTTCGACCTGTGACCGTCAGCCTCCAGCGGTCTGTGTGGTGTCAGCCTCCCGTCCTGCGGCCCTCTCGCGTCTTGATGCGGTGGCGCATCATCTCACCAAAATTCAGCCTTCACTTGCCTTAGCCGTGAATCAAAACTAGACGACGGTTGGTGAGACAAACTATAGACCTTAGTCGTCAAAGTTAGACCTACATCGTGAATCAAACTTAAGACCTTCCAAGCTTTGTCTGTCCAAGACCTTTTTAGAGGTGATTCAGGGTGCTCAATCAAGTACAATAACCACCCCTTTGTGGATCCTCAGAGGAACTTTGGACCGCTTTGGATGATTTTGGACGGCTTTGAGTCATCCTTCTGCACCGTCACATGGTCGGTATACGCGCGCTGGGCGGTCTATAACCCCTGGTGACCAAGATCGACCGAAACAACTGTAGCTTGTTGTCTGTCTGCTCCCTGTTCAATGGGGAATATGGACACCCCCGGCTCCGGATAGCTCCCTCCTGAGCACCAAATAGAAAACAAAAACACACCTGGTCAGCCTGGTCACCTAGCCCTTCCAATGGGTGTCCAATCGCGGGGCCCATAAGTCGTCCATTGGTGATTAATGCTTCAAACTGGTTTGGGAATGTTTGGGGTAGGTTTGGGAAACATGCGAGCCACTAACTATGCGAGCCTTAACCCACTTCGGTGTCCATTCTGGACATGGCAGTTGACCAATGGTCTCCACGTCCTGACTGGGCTGACCTCCAACTCGCCAAAACCAGCCAGTGCACCCACAAAAACCACAAACAAATGCTTAAATGAAAGTAAGAATAAGTTGGTAGCCAAAACCAATACAGTTCCCATCACCTCATCCTTGGCCACCAACCCTTTGCCCCCACCCAAAAACAAACATACGCACAACATCTTCACTTCTGAACCCCCGCCAATGGCCACCACCCTTGCCCCCACCACTGCTCCCTTCTCCCGGTGACTCAAACGGTCCGACCAACAAGGGGCCATACCAAGCCTTGATCTGTGGAATCGCATGCATGCGATCCATCCACCCGGTGATCGCCTCGGTGCGGTCGTCTCCACGCGGCAGTCGTCTCCACGCCGCGGTGTTCAGAGCGCGCTCGGACTGCGCGCGCTCGGACTGCGCGCGCCCTCGTAGATGCGTAGATGCCATGCGGTCCGATGGTCTCCCCGGAAGTCTTTTTCCAAAGGCTGCAAACATCTGCCAACCAAGATATGATATAGTCTCCTGCCCAAAATATGATTCTTTTAGACGTTTAAATGAATAAAAATAGTACAGTAACATATAGTAAACCATAGTAATAAAGCCTCTGAATATGTATTTTTCTTTTAGTTTAAGAGTCTATAAAATAATACCATGATATTGTCAGTTCCTCCAAGGACTTGGGACTTCTTGCGCCCACCCCCCAGGCTCTCGGGAGAAAACCAATGGTTTCTGGATTCTACGATCGAATCACACACACACACTCCATATGTATATCCATAGGACTCCCATGACAACAAAGGTTGAAGATTCCCATAGACTATCCCATTGGTACGATTGGTACCCCAGGTGACGACTCTATGTATATCCATGGGTCTGTCCATGTCATCCAGGGCCCAGTGGATGATGATGGTTCAGTGGCAGGCCTTGTTTCAAAATATGATGAGAAGTGTTTACTGACTGTTACAGGTATCAGTAAGTTAGGACAAACCCAATCTATAATCATGTATATAACATGTATACGTTACGGCATATTTAATCACTTGGGGTGGGTGAAAAAAGGCCAGTGTACGTCAAGATTCCAGTCCCCTGGAGTGGGACTGAGCATCGTGTCGAGTGCATCCCCCGTTTGCGACGCTCTTGGTTGAACTCCCGCCATGGCTTCTACTTGCAAGTTCTTTAGCTCTTCTTGCTCTGGATTTGATCAATGCGATGATGCAAACATCTCACCCAATTCTCCGGAAGGTGAACGGCCCCAAGTCGAAAGCGAACAAATCTGAAGGTGAACGCCGGACTAACCCGAAGCTGGCAACGTGGTATCAGATCAGATTCGTCCAAATCCAGGCACTCCTACTCTGTCATGGACAAGTAAACAAATTGAACATATGTATACCCTGGGAGTCCAAGACCATGTTTAAAACGGTCTTTAGGTGATCTGAAAAGGAACTTCCTTTGCTTGGGTGCTGCCAAAAATAGTCTTTGGCAATTTGGACTTCTAGGGTGTATATATATACACACATTTATATACTGAACTGGTCATATCTGGTCATTATTAGTTCCATATGATCAGAACCCTATCAAACATAGGAATTATACAATGAAACAACTCCTGGTGGTCCCTGAGATTTAACATCCCTTGACGCTTGATATCTTCTGTAAACCCTCCTGATTCACCTCCCTTTGTTGCACCTTAGGATGCCCTATCAGGCCCCAAAAGGCGCTGCGCATCCACATTCTTCCAAGAGGCTGGGAACGGTTTCAGGCAATCGGCCGGTACGTGATCTGCCACGCCCTTCGTGAAGTACCTGAGCTGCGCCAAGATCTGCAGGTCGGCGATGGTCCTCACTGCGCGCGCCGGACCCAGAACCGAGGCGGGACTCGCTGGGCGTTCAGCGACGCAACGCACCCGGCGTTCACCAGTCACCAATGACCCACCACTGTCATTGGAATAGAAGGTCCTGACACCCAGAAATAAGCGCTCAATCAGATATTGATGCATTTAAGGCATATTTACATTTGATTGCAACACCTTTTCATTTGTGGGGCAGAGCCTACCATTAGTCTGAGATTGGCACTTTCCCAACTCCTGGATTGGGTCATCCTTGGAAGGATCCGCTCCGAGGAACAAGCGGCACCCAAGCAATCTCGTTAAAAGGTGGTGACAGCAGCAAAAGGGGTTGCTCTGACAAGCCTCAAACAAACAAGGAAAAGACAAACCATTCATATAGACCATTGAATTGTTGTGAGGGTTGGAACGGTGTTTTTTCCAACACCTATATATGTACCACCGTACTACTTCCACTGCCACTAAGTCTATCACTATAACACTAACACAACGACGACTGCCTACTGCTACTTGCACTTCTGCCAGTAGTATTGTGCTTGGGGGACTATCACTGTAGACTCTCCCCCAGTTGTTTGCTAGAGGGGGGTGGCGAGTTGATGATTTCAAACCCAATAGTTATCAGTCCAACAGTTGAAAAGGAATTGTGTTTAGTCCCATCCAGCGGATGCACAGGGGCACCCTTATTCTCCAAGTTCGGCCATGGAACTCCTGTATGGCCTCCAGCTGGGAGAACCGTGTCTTCCAAAGCCGGCCAGCTGGGGCTCAGGATTTGGGACTTGGAGGTTTGGCCCTTAGAGTCTTCCGGCTGGACCTCGCACCCCCAGGGACCTCGAACACCACTGCCGAAGTCCATCTGTTGTAAAACCTGTCCCAAAGAGTTGTCGCTTCAAGGTCCATCTTTACGAGGACACCCGGACCGGGGGTTTCTAGTATGATAGCTACAGGTGATTCGGGGGTGTCCATTCACCACCACCCCGACTGTGGGTCCTGGTCTTGCTTCATCGATGCTTAATCTATGCCAGCCGGAACCGACGAAACCGCCGGAGCCGACGGAAGCGTTGGAACCGACGGAAGCGTTGGAACGCGTTGAGGACCTTCAGATCCGAAGCGGCGGCTGGTCTCCACAGAAGAAGGTCCCCGTCTTCTCCAGCTTCTTCGTGAAGAACTCCATGAACTTGGGTAAGGAGTCCTTGAGGAACTCCTCACGCAACCTTGGCACTGAAGAGTCGGTTCTTCAAGGAACGATCAGAAAATTCGCCACCTGTCGGAATCAGCATGGAAGTGGAACATGGCCCCTTGAATGAGCCTTCTTGATCCTTTTTGAGAAGACCCAACAGGTGGCTTTCAAAACGATGATTCCAAGGAGTTTATGAACCAAATCGTCACCGTCCCCAAAAATTCTAAGTGATGTCACCGACATCACCCGGGAGACAATCTTGCAGAGCCCCACCAAGCACCAGCTAGGAGGGGGTGTGAGGATATGCATTTCAATCACATGACACGTTCCGCCCCCGCAACTTGGGGTGTCGAATATTGTCGAATTATAGGCTCAGTGGACCCTCATAGCATCTCATAGCTAGGGTTTTGACCCTCACAGCCAGGGTGAACTGGACCTCAAACATGTGGCAGTTGCTTCGGGGCCGAACGGGTCGCCTGTGCTGAGAGGAATGACCTCCCTCGGGGCATCCCATCCATGGCCCTCTCGACGAGACGCCCCGATCACCTCCAGACCAAACCGGGCCACTTCTTCACCGTCGCATGCTTCTGAGGCCAGTCCTGCGCGCCGTTTCGCTGGTTTGGAGGAGCTTGACCCCAAAAAGAAACCACACCTGCCAAAAGAATGGTATGGTTTGACCAGGTTTGATTTGTTGTTTAGCTTCCTGCATGGCTATAGTGGCTATAGTGTTTAATTTGACCGACCCAATTTAACATATTTACTGCACTCCTCAAAGCAAAGGCACGGCTGGTGGCGGGGCTACGCTCGGCTGGATCTCTCCAAAGAATGGTTTGCTCCACCATCATTCAAGAGCGCCAGTCAACTGAGAACATCCTTCCGAAATGACTGATCTTCCAAGTTCCGCATCCCAGTCCTCAGGATAGCCATAGCTCGTGTGCCGCCCCATGCCCATGTACAAGGCCGGTGCCCAAGCCCTTGCCATATCCTCTGACAGGCCGATGAGCTCCTCAATCTCCAGCATGGCATCTGCATCTGCGGGGTAGAGGGTGTTGCTGGAGTCGAACTTCCTGGATCGCAAGCATTCCAGGATCCTCAGGAGGACCCCCCCTCCTTAGATTTGCCTCAGTGCAACTGATCCTTCCACAAAGATTCACCTCACCTGTAAGATTGAACCTTCTTGGGCCACATGCCTGGAGAAAACACTAAAATCACCACCAAACACGGTGAAAAACACAACTATAACTCACCTTCTTCCATCCGACCACGCGAACGAACCGCCCAGAAACCCGAGCCAAACACCCCTCCCTATCCTCCCTCCAACGCACCCCGCACCGGAACCGACCGACCCAACCAACACGGTGCGACCGACGCGTGTCCTGGCGACCCAGCGCATCATGGCGACGGACTGCGCGAACTTCGTCTCGGTGCCGTCGGGCTGGGTCAAGGTCATCATGGGCAGCTGGCCTCGTGAAGGGGCGGCAGCGAGGAAGGAGTGGGGGCTTGAAGAAGAGGGCGGAATTGGTGGGGGAAGTGGGATGGACAAAGCATGGAAAAAGCAACACATCGTCCCCAGAAAAAAGGGATTCACCCACAAGGGAGAAAAAAAAACACCGGATGAGCAAAAGAAAAGAAAGTGGAACAAACATGAACAAACACCATGAACATCACCTGAAATGTTCCAACAAAAACTACGTACCTACCAGGACACCCGGACCGGGGGTTTCTAGTATGATAGCTCCGAAAACAGGTGATTCGGGGGTGTCCAGCAACACCACCCCGACAGTGGGTCCATATAGATCCAGTTCCATGTCGGGTCTTTGGAGTCTCGAGGGCCCGGGAGCGCTTTTTTGGAACACCCTGGTCAAGGCGGTGGAGCCGCCAAGACCCGAATTACGAGGAGAGATGGAGGACCTCTTCATGTGGTGTGGAGCGTAGGACAGCCTGCCCAAGCACCCAAGCACATGGAGGCCTGCCCATCTTGGTGGAGCAGTTTAGAGAAGCCGACATGTTGAATGAACGAAATTCAGGTGGAGGCCGTCATCCAAAATTCAGGTGAGAAGCCAACATGTTGAAGCCAAGGGGGCCTCCCTATTAGTTGGGTGTTTATTGAGGCCCATGGAGGCCCTCAACCAATGGCTTTTGATGTTTCCGAGTTGAAGTTCCTTCTTCCCCCTGGGAATCGGAAGGGCTGTGACTGGGAGGTTGCCCCTATGATAATAACACACACCCAGGGGATGATCTGCAACCCTGGCCCCAGGATTCTCTTGCCTAGTATCATGTCTGAGTCGCAGCTCGGTTCCGGGCTTGAACAAGGAAGGCTGTAGCACAATGTCCCTCTGAAAGCTTGGGAAAGACATGATAATTAGGACAAAACACCTGCCATCAAAGCAACAACTTGGATTGGAGCCAAGCAAACGACATGGGTGCTCTGTGACTTACTCTGTGGTTTCAATCCATTCGAAGCTTGCTACGAAGAGTGATTCCGTGCCCTTCCTTCCGCAGTCATTCAACCCCCCAGCAGGGAGCATCTGGGTCTAGAAAAAACGAGGGATCCGGACCACAGCTACTGGTCTCTCTCACCGGACGGGGTTTTAAGGGCACCACTCGTCACTAGCCTCCTATCCACGACTCTCTCTATTATATTTAAAGTGCTTGCTGCTTGCAAGCTTAAGCATCTAAGCCAATCTAAGCAAACTAACCTGTTAAGCAACAGCAACATCAGAAAATAACTGCAAGTGTGGACATGTTTCTCCTACATTGCTGATGCCATCCGTGCGCTGGATATAGTATGGGCATCTATCTACAAGCAACGTTGACTCATAAATCACCCGAACAGCAAACACACAGTTCAGTTACAAACCAGATTGCGCACGCATATGAGCGCTGTCAAGCAAAGGACATGATTCAGCGAGGTTATCGCTTTTGAGGGGTGCTTATCGCTTTTGCAGGTTTTAGCCACAATGTATAGCTGAACATATCCATTGTGCGTGTGTTTTTTCTCCCTCCCTCCCTCCCTCCCTCCCTCCCTCCCTCTCCCTTCCCTCCCTCCATCACCCTCTGCAAGAGTCCCTCCTGCGGTCCGTCCCGTCACTGGCCCAAGCGACCATGGGGCGTGGTGGGCTTCAAGGTGGCCCAGTCCTTGAACTCAATGCGCTTGTCCTCGAAGTCGGTGCCGGTCATCACCAGAGTCAAGCGCACCTTCTCAGCCGCCGCTTCGATGTTGAAGTAAGTCCTTAGGGGTCTCTCTCTCTCTCTCTCAGGGCACCTCTCAACATGCGGAGAAAGAGTGAGTGGACATCTGGCCGAATTGGTGTGGAAGTCTTCTCAATCCATATAACCATACCACATGTTCATGTTGGTCTGTTCGTATCATGAAGGAGTGAACCTGCCGGGGGTGTTTGGGGGTGTTGGGCCAACTATACAAAGAAGATGTAGAGGACTATCCAACACCGCCCCAGTCCAACACCCCCGTCCAATCCGAAGCTTGCCCTAGAAAAAGGTTCTGTGATCCTGCAAGGGACCTCGGCCTCAAAGATGCAGAACCACTCACTGGATGGGACGAAAAAACACCCTGGTCTTCATGTGACCCCCGTTCCGCCCATTCCCAAACGACAGCAAAACATGTCACACGGAAAGCACGGAGAGTTTGGTAATTTTTTGTGCACCCTGGTCGGTTTCGGATGTTACATGCACCTGGCCGTGTTTGGGGATCACAACGCAGAGGCATTTGATAAGGAAGAATTACGGAATGGGGTTGCTGGTGTGTTATAGACCCCAAACGTGCAAACATGCCCTCTGTTTGAGTCTATTTGTGGGCAGCTTGGGGAATGAATCGAACCATGTATTCAAGAAGGCAGTGGATGACCCTTCAAAAACAGCTCCCTACGGATGAGTAGCGGTAGTTGATTTGTAAAGTTTGCTTCGGATGCAGGTGGAAGGAAAACCCTCTTTCTTGCCAGGAACGCCTTCCATATTCCCAAATTCCCAAGCTCATCCCAAGCTCTATATATCAATCATTCTGAGTCTGAGGGTCAATGTAATTTTGGGCGTCGAGCCTGAGTTCCCCATGGCAATCGGTCTGGCAATGGTCACGGGCAAAAGATCGGCTGATGAAGCGATGGTCTTGAGCCCAGTTGGGGTGAAGCCGTTAAAGACCCGCACGACGGACGAAAGGACGTTGCCAGCTTTTTTGCAGCTGGTGCGTCTTGCGACGGCCTCCGGAATGGTCTTTCTTTGGGCCCCTCAAAGGGTAAGGGGTGTTCGATGGTGTTCGATCACCACCCCTTGAGAGTCCTAATAGATCGCAAAGCATAGCACCTCATGGACCAACCCTTACCCGGTCCTTTCTCGTAGACTGTTCATACTGTCTTTTGTGGCTCTCAACGAAGGGGAGCGACGCCATTCGTCCCAGTTTTCAGGAGTTCCAAGCTGGTTGGTGGCCTCAACTCACGAAGGAACCATGTGAGTTGAGTCAGGGCGATCGATCATCTCAAAGTAAAGGTTGAAACGCACAAAGCATCTGAAACCACCACCCACCACCCAGCAAGTTTCGAACAATTATTCACGTATTGACTCAAATTCCAAGTGACTACCAAGTGGGAATTCCAAGCGGCGCTACTAGCTTCTTGTTACTTGTAGCGATGGCCTCCAACCTAATAGCGATGTCCTAAACTAGGACCTCCCTGAACCCACGGAAATCCCACGGAACTTCGCCCGATCTTCCGCTTCGGCCTGAGGTCCCTGCCAAGCGTGCCAAGGCTGCCAGGGCACTGCAGCTTTGGCCTCGCGCGGTGCAGAGATCGCGGCTCCATCCGGTTCAAACACTTCGAGCAGCTGCAAGCCATTCCAAACAGGAGTCTCGGATTCGCATAAGGAGCAAAAATAACTACCCAAAGGAAACACATTCAAGAAAACACACATCCCTTAACCAGGTTAAATAGACCTGAGCGGCCCATGCGAGCAACCCAATGACACGCCACGAGGCCCATGCGTGTAGCGCGCCATGGCAACCCCCGCGGTCACGAAACCGCGGTGCACACGAAGCCTGCTGTGAAGCGCCCCGCTCTCGCGAGGCCCACACACGCCGTCGCCGCGGCATCCAGGGCGCCCGCTTCATCGAGCCTCGGCGGAGCGAGCATATCCAAGGGGGTGAACGGTGAAGGTTGGATGATAACTTGGGAGTCAAAAACGACCGAAAATGATTGTCTTTCACTAGGGTTCCTGGCCCATATCCTCAGGTTCGGTGGTTAGACTGTTAGACCCCCCTGGCACCCACCCACCCCAACCACCGAACCTCAGGAGGTAGTTGGAGCCCTAGGGCTTTGAAAATCCGCCAAGGGAAATGTCCTTTACTTCACTGTAAGGACAAGTATGGTCAAACTGGAATTCTAGCGAATACGCTGTCCTCCCAACATGCAAATCACCTGCAGGTTGCCAGGTGAATTGGTCGGGGCCCGGCTTGATTGAGCGCTGCGAGGAAGTGTGGGGGAGGATGAAATACAGTATCTGTATATTCTGCAAATGGCACGACGCCCTGCCATTCTGCAAATGGTTCTTTTCCTTCTTGTCCGACTTTCTTGGGCCTGCAAACCTCACATGTCCAAACCAGTTGCACTGGTATTACTCCGACTTGCTTACGGAACTGGGAAAAGCGTCTTCCCCTGCCAGCAAGATTCACCCACGGGGAAAACAACAACCTCTGTGGGTCAAAACCAGGATACCTCGGTTTTTTTCCTTACCAGGGAGGTCGTCTGCTACTTCATGGAACAGGGCTCCAGGTTTTGACCCACATCAAACCCGGCATGACAGCTCAGCCCTGTACATTTCTTCCACTCCATGCTTCTTGGCCTGTGCCAATGCCCAGACTGTGGCCACCTGTCTGAATGGTGACTTGCACGTGACCGCACCGGCATGAACCACATTCAGTGAGGATGGTAGTAGTGACTCACCAAGGAGAGAGACGATTCAAACTTGCCAGTGCCCGTGGTTTTTTTCTCCACCTGTCTTGGGATTCTCCATGTATATAGCAACAAGATGCAACAAGGATTTCCACAATTGTTACTGCACTGTACTTTATAATGCAGTTGTTGTTGAATCTTTAACCTCCCCACTGGCTGGCACTCAACGATGAATGCTTGCTCCAAAGCTCATACATTTGTTTCTGCGCAAGTTGACTGTGAACCACTGCGAGCTCGTCGCCTGAGGCACTCACCACCTCATCAGCAGAGAGCCTGGAACGTTCAAAGGCTCAACTGACCAGCATCCAGGTGTGAATTGTGAGGTGTGAACATCCCCGCTAAGGACCCACAGTGATGGATTTTGTCCATCATGACATGACTTATACTCTGCACTTCTTACTTACAGTAGGCTTGGATTTGCAGGAACTGGAAACAAATCAACATCTCCGGGAAGGGATTCACCCATAGGCACTTCTATGCGAAAGCAACACTCACCCTAAGCAAAACCAGTGGGTCTCTCTGACTCTCTGACAGTCAAGCTACCTGCCACTGTGGGCAACCTGGTGCAGCTGTTCCAGCCAACCACCGGCACATCCGCAACGCATGGTGCCCAACAGGTCTGACGGACCTCATTTCACTGGGTCTGGAAAAAAACAACACCGTGCTCAATGTGTCTCCCGCTGAACTCGTCTCCCACGGTCAGAGCGAGCTGCGTTGCGGCCTGCCGGCCTGCTCCAAGCATCTCGGCCGGCTCCGGTCGTGCGCCTGGGGCGAACTTCGTCGAGAGGTGCGTGTTCAAAGCGCCGATGCTCGCTGGGTCGGTCCAAGCTTGGAGATTGAAAAAGATCAACATGATCAACACAAATCAACAAACTCAATTGGCAGCTCAAACATGATCAAACATGTATGACCAGGCGTCACAAAGGGGTGGTGTTTGGTCCCTAAGTGAGTGGATAATGGGCACCCCTAACCTCCAATAGGGGTGGCGTTGGTGAACTTCTTCTCTCTTCCAGACTCGATGCCGCTTCCCATGCCCCATGACTAGCGCGCGGGCTGCAAGCAAGCACGGTAGGCCCAGCTGGAGCTGTCCATCTGCCCGAGCCTGAGCTGCACCCATGAAGCTTCTCTGCTGCTTTCGTTCGACCCCCTAAATCGTTGGTTTAAGTCGTCTCATCTCTCGTCAAACCCACAGGCAGTGTGTCGAGTCTGTGGGGATGAGCCCGTGAAACCACTTCGAATTTCCCCAGCCGCCTGGCCCAGGCCGCGGCCAGCGTCGCCAACTCCGCCGGGCGAAAGTGCTCGGCCTGGCCGAAGGTGGCTCAGGTGGCTCGGATTCCGGCGCGACTCTCACGGTGGTGTCACAACAGATCTTTCAGCTACCAAGCTGGGAGGACCTGGTTGGACCTCTCTCTTCACGAAGCTGGAAAAAGAAGGCATTGCTTAAAGCTCTTGAGGTGGCCAAAGACTCAACGTGACCATCCAAAAAGACAATAGTTACTCTTGCCTCGCACGAATTCAAACTGAGTTGGAAGCAGAGTGAGTCGAGTGTGCATCATGTGAATCCGATGTTGCTTGGGCATGGCATGGTGGATCCATGTGTCAATTGGCACCACGCTTGCTGAAGATCCACAGGGCACGCTTCCTTCGCGCATGCATTCCAGTGATGACCGGAAGGCCATTAACTTCGAACATCTTCGAACCCCCTTCTGTCCCACTCCATCTGACCCCGTCCTTGAGTTGAGCTGATCTTGCTAGGGCTCCTGCAAATGATCCAGCAAGATTGTGTGTGTGTGAGAGACAGAACCATGACGTTTAGAACCATGGGATGCTCAAACCGCATTCGTTCAAGGCACCGGGCCCTGTGTTGAGCGCTGCCGGAGAAGCCACTCAAGCTGACGTCCCATGATTTTGTGCCACCACCGGTCACCGTGATGCTTCCAGGCAGTTGTGCCAAAGCCTTGAACTTGATGAACGACACGTCGGAACGACATGCCACCCAGGGGAAAATCTGCAAGGCCGGCTTGGGAGATTCAACAACCCACTGGCAAAAAACGACCATCTTTCAAGATCAGTTCAAACACAAGGTCGTAGGCTGCAAACACACACTCCAGTTCCATGCGAGTTTTCCGCCCCATACGTGCCGCAGAAAAGCTGGCTCTGCTCCTGTGAGCGTTCTCTCTGACCAGCTGGCACCTGTGAGCGAGATCATCATGGGGCCCCAAACCAACATGTCGAAACGCGACACAGGGTCAAATAGAATAGGGGCCCTTAAGGGGTGGTTAATGGACATCCCTTAACCTCTAAGGGGCTACCAGGATTTTTAGACACCCCGAAACCAAGGGCCCTGGGGGATGCAGAGCGAAATCCAAATGAAGTCTACAAGCCATCCTTTGTCAGTTTGTGTTTTCTTCGATTGGTGAGTGTTTTCCATCTGGGTCCCAAAAGCTAAACTTTGAATGTCTTGACAAACTTAATCTGAGCTCTTCAAGAAGGCTCATTGTTGCACGAGGAACCACATCATCCCAAAAACCTTTGCTGGTGCAACTTTACATCACCTCATTTCGTCTTGCATTGTCCTATGTCCTATGTAGTGGGCAACCTCTTCCTATGTAGTGGGCAACCTCTACATATATGTACAAGGGTGAGCAAAAACGATCACCTTGCTTTGGGACCACCAGTTGTATGCTGGGCTCGGCAGCACTGCACAGCTCGGCTTCATGTACGTGTGAAAATGGCCCGAAGGCGCGCATCCTTCATCCTCCTTCCTCCTCCTCACCACCACGGGCACCGAACCGGATGCCGGGCGTCCCGTTTGGGCTCCGGCGGCGGCGACACGGCGGCGGCGGAGCAGCGGTGCCGACACCTGCGAAGGCCCAAAGCACGCCCGTCAGCTCCTTCGCTCGGAACCTGCATGAGCCGAGCGAAGCGCGTTGGAGCAAGTTCCGACGGGTCAGAGCAACTGAGCGGGGCAAACGCAAAATACACTTAAACGAACATGTTATTTTTTTGTGTACTGTTTTGGCTAAAACAGCAGCTCTGTGGCTAATGCATATCTTGGCATCATCTCATATGGACATCTTAGCATCCACCGCTTGATTAAGGGTCCTCACCCTGCTCCTGCAATAGGTTGCCACATGAAACAAACCCAGAACCAGGACCCCAACTCATTGGCCATCTCCACAGCTTTGGCAGTGAGGCCACCCACCTGCACACGACGACAACTACAAGAACACATCTCTATATGCGGTCAATGCACGACAGGTCCATTCAAAACGATTCTGGTACAAAAATGTATGTCGGTGTATCCCGCAACAGTGGATGGTGAGAAAAGACTTCCCTCAAAAACGGTGATACTCTTTTACGGATGTTTGCCGGTCGTGGGGCACCCAAGACGAAGGGGATGTCTCAAGCTGGGAGCCGAGCTGGGCATCCACCCGGAACTCAGGAACACGTCGGTGGCTTCAACGAGCGAGCAAGATAGGTCGGAGGCTTAGTCATCCCAAGTAAAGAATCACACACTCTGACTTGTATTTTGCCAACTATGGCATCTGTAATTGCACCCTAGCGATCCACATACCTTCTCAGAAGGTGCCAGGGCCCTCCCAGCACACAAATGAAAATGCATCACCTTCTGAGAATGTGTGCGGGTCCCCAACAAAAACCCATATGGAAACCCTCGTCTGATTCTCAGGGCGGCCCTCTTCATTCAGACTTGCTCTGACACGGCATCACCGAGGACACGGACGGACTCGGGGCTTTGCTGAGCTACCTTGGTCGGCGCACGCGGCTCAGCCGACGCACGCGGTGGAAGCAAATCCATGCATAGGGGTGGGGGAAGCCGGACCTTGTCATGATCCAAACAGTGAAGGTTTGGTTTTCCGATGCCATGCGAATCTATGCGACGTCTGGCTTAAGTAGTGATGCTCTTGTTCACCGACTGTTACAGGTAGTAGGACGGACCCAATGCGCACGCCACTTGAGTCGCAGTTGGTCTCGAGAAGCTCTAAGTAGGCAAGCAATGACAAGGTCAGCTTTGCAGAGGAAAACCGCCCCAACAAAAACAAAAGAAACATCCGTGCAGCAATCATTCAAGTGGACAACGGAAAAGATCAATTCTGAGGGGCCACGCCGTGCACTTTCATGACTCTGGCCGAGTTACAAAGACTCGTTGGGTCGTTGGGTCGAGCGTTTACTTCAGGATTGAAGTCAGACTTGGGCGGCCTGAAACAACAAAGTGGCGTTGACGCTGCAGGGGGGCAAAAATATCGACCTGACTTATGGTAATTAATTCCGCATAAGAAGGGGCGTGCTTGTCATGCTCTGAAGGCCTTTTTTGGGCCTGTGGGCTCGGCGCGCATACGCAGCGCGGAAACGTGGGGTCTGTGCTTGCCTCTGCTGGCTTGAGGCGGGAGAGTCCAGATGCCTGGGTGAAGTTTGGCGACCGGCCGAGTTCGTCTAAGCCGTCAGTCTTTCCCAGTCGTGGCTGGCAGGCTTCAGCTGCGCTGAGGGCAATGGAGATTGAGCGCCGAGCTAGGCAAGGAGTGGCTGGCCAACGCTTAGGTCCTTCATGTGGGTTTTGCCATAGTTTTCCTTTGCGCCTTTGGTCTCGTGGTCTGATCCGCCCTTCGGGTGCGAGGGGTCTTGGGCTCAATTCCGACCAGCTTCGCCCCCAAGGCTCGGCTCCGACCTGTCGTCAAGCTAGCGTCGCAAGCGGGCCTGGGTGGTGAAGTGACACTGGCAAGGTTGTTTGTGACTGGAGCAAGGATGGTCCTTTTTCTCGGTGTGAGCGTGCCCGGCGAGACATCTACGCGGGAGCAAGCCGAGCATCCCCAGCGCTGGCCAGCTCGCAGCAAAACGAGCAAAGCAGCTCAGGTGGGACTTCTGGTCGCGTGTCACATGTCTTGAGGCCTGTCA